GGGTCATTTTAAAAAGCGTGTAAGTGTATTTTGGTCCAAATTTTACTAAAATGGCAAATTGTGCAAATCTTCGAAAAACTGGCCAGTTTTAAAATTACCCACTTGAGAATGAATTTTTAGGGATCTCAACGAGTCGAGTAAAATCGACTTGAGCCGGCTCACGATTTATTTTATATATATATAACATGCAGGCAATGTGTAGTTGCTTGCTATTGCAGATCAGCTTTATTATCATTATTAAATTTAGGCTCAACTCGTCATGGGCACGGGCTTGAGCCAACGTCCCAAAATGGAGTTTGGCCCGAACTTTGGCTCGGTAGAATTGATATGCGAGTCGCAAGCCTAATTGATACCCCTAAAAATATAGGATGGAATTTTCTCTTCTTCTAGTTACTGAATTTAATCAACATTATACAAATGATCACTTGGTTAATAAAAGTAATGTCTAATCCAATGCATGTATTTACTTTGTTTGACGCTATCATTCAATGCCACTTCGAGTGAAGGCATTAATCACTGTCTAGTTTATTAAAAGTTCTAGCAAATTGAAAAGGAAAAAAGTAGTGTTGAATGAAAACGCTGACAAGAAATTAATGCCTCTTAAGCCACCTTGACATTTAATGGGCGTTACGTTGACTTTGCTTTCATTAATCGAGTGATATTTTTGTAACGTTAATTAACTTCAGTGATTAAATAGGACAAAAATACTCCGGTGACCGTGTTTGTATTGTTAATTAATTTATATGTCTTCAATGGATCAGAAAAACATTAGAAGGACCAACTTAAAATTTTCACAAACCTCGATGACAATTTGTGCAATCCAGTACTGAACTATATTAAAACCTTGGATGTCATATAATTTTGTTGATACATGAAAATTGGTTGTCAAGATATACACATTAATAACGAGATTACACCTTTAATCACTAGTTTTTTCTTTCTTCCCCATTTTATTTAGCTTTGCAAGAATAATAAACATTTTAAGATAGAATCACGATAAGCTCTTCCAATATTTTTCTTGAGTATTGTGATCGTTGGAAAATGTCTTATAAGTGAGAGTTTGTTTTGGCATATTTTTGGATGGGATCCATTTCTTCTTTTTAGAAGATCTAAGTAAATTCATATTGATCATTCATAAAAATATCGAAATCATATATTTACTTGTAAAAATTGATACTCGAGTAGATGAAAAATTGAAGTTTAAAATTGACCCATTGAAAAAAGAAAACTATTTTAGTTTGTCATAAATAGAAAAACGGACAATGCAATGAACTAGTTTATATATGAACACACTTTTGAAAGGCATCATCATATGTAAAGGTCCTCTCCACATGCATGCAGAGGGTTGCAAATCATAACCTTGGACTACATGAACACACTAGTTTAGAGTCAAACCGAACCTAACTAAGCTTTTTGCTCGACCAAAGAAATCTAGGCTCGACCCGAGCCGGCTCACTTTTTTTCATAATAAACTTCTGCCTAAAAAAGGCAGCACCATGCAGCACTTGGTTGCCTTTAGATCCATTCTTTTTTGGGGCCTGTGAGCCCAAGCCGACGAGCCAAATGGGCTAGCTTGGGCTTGGGACGACACCCCAAAATGAGGCTCAGCCCAAGCCTTGAGCTGGGCTAGCTCGAGCTTTTCGAGTCGAGGTACGAGCGATTCGAGCTAACAAGCGAAATTGACACCCTAACCAGAACATATTTCATCTATGACAATTTGAACTTTTATATGAAAGTTCGTAATAATATGGCGGATATCGGTCGCTTTGCTTTAACACAATCGAGACACGTAGTTAGTTAACCACCCAGTAGGCCTACTCATGACCTTTGATGGATTGCTATTATGTTAGAATCATGCTACAAATACGAAATTTTGCAACAGAAAAATCATATAGGCAACACATGGCATGACATCATTGGAAGATGGGAAAAAAGAAGAAAAACAGTCCGCTTACATTTTGCCACGTCAGTGTCGATACAAGTTCGGTTAAATTTTTCCTATATTTATGGCTTTGTTGATTCTGTTATGATCAAATGCTCAACTAGTAGGTGTGGGTCCATGGTCAATCGATGACGAATTGCATTTAGTGTAGTTGGCGCTATAAAATAGAATGTTGATGTTAGCGAACAACTAGATATTGCCACGTCATGTTCATCTTACTATATAAAAATGGAGGTTATCTCGCCTACTATAAATTTACAACATCACATACAGTTTCTCCCACACCACTTCAATTATTTCTTTACTTTCAAAAGAGATAATCGGAACTTCATCGGAGAAAACACAGAATACACACATAAGATTTTCTTCTTTATCCCAATGTTCTTTTAAACTTACAGTTATTAGTATCAACGAGGGCAGAAAATTAGCATCAAATATTGTCGTCAATTTATAAAAACCGTAATAAGCCTCGACCTGGGTTTCATTATCTTCCACTACAATTCTACGTTTTGAATTCAAATATTTAATTTAACGATATATGTTCATACACCTGCAATCATTACTAACTTATGAATTACTCCTTTCTTGAAAAGTAGAATTTTAGCAAAACAAATCAAATAGAAAAGGAGTCTATAGCATTATTGTGCTTAATAGTTAATTTCTTGGAAAGTATTTTAACTTCATATTTTTTTAGAAAGTGTAAAAGTAAGTTGAGAATCATGTTTGTTAAAGTAAGTAATTTAAGTACAAGCAGAAATGCACTCTAAAATGAAAATATTGATAAAAAGGAAATTAGAAAAATGTTTTATATAATGTGTAGTGTGTGTACATATTCTTCACTGCCCTTTCAACAGCTATTCTTCTATCACAGATATTTCATTTCCTTTCATCCTCCGCAAATTTAGGGTTTCGACTCTGTCCTCTCTCTCTCTCTACAGTACTTCAAAGTGAGCTCTGCTTTTTCTCACTCAACTCTTTTGCATCATTACCGTTTAACTAGTGATTTTTTTTTTTTTTTATACTTTTGCTGCATTTTATCAAATTCTCAGGATTTTTCTGCTGGATTTTGGTTTGTTGACTTGATGGCGGTGCCTGATTGAGTGATTTAATTGATTTGAACATTTTGATGAGATGGGTCGCATTTTATCTCGGAATTTTTTTACTGGAGTTGAATTTGTAGCACACTCGGTTTAGATGATCTGCTGATGATGCATCTTATTGAAGTTGATTTCATGTTGATGATGCGTTCTTTGAATTTGTTGTTGTTTTTTGAGTTTCTTGAATCTAGTTTGCTTGTACCTGGGTATTTTATAAAGCTGCTAATTATAATTTCTTGATTTCATCTAGCTAGTCTTAGGGCTTCCTTTTTTGTTCCTTGAAAAGTTGAAGAATTACATATTAAACTGAATTTTCATTTGAAAACCCAAAAAGAGAAGAAGAAGGAAGTCGAGAAGAGTAAATTGAATCCGTTGCTGTTGAATATTTCTCATTTGAACTTAAGAGAACTATTTGTGGTTGCACGGGTTTTGTTCTTAGCAAAAATAAAAACGTGAACGACACATCATTAACTTGAAAATTCTGTTTAGAATATATGGTATGCATCTATACCCTTTTTTTTTTTTTAAATGATTTTGTTTCGTTAACAGACATCAAATGTACGTTTTAAATTCTTGTATTGATCTATGAAGAAGATGAGATTCAGGTTCAAAGGTCCACATTAGGATGCTGCTCATAAAATTAAAAACTTTTGAATAACTGGCTACATGGTATCTCTAAGATAACGAATTACTATCTCAGTATTGAAATCTGGCAATGTAGGTTTCTCTATGTCCACCTGGCCCTTTTTTCACATACACTAGATGTTATGAAGTGAATTATGTCTTTGTTGTATATATTGATTCCAAATGTTCCTTTTCTTGTCCAGAAGCTCATAGCTGTGCAAGTAGAATGATGTGTTCAATGTCTGCAGTATCATGAAGATTCAGTAGGGAATTCTTTGGTAATGTGCTAATTTTCTGCTTCTGTAAAAGGTTGACAGGACATTTCTGAAGGTTTTTTCCAAAGCTTTACTAATTTGGTTTAGATATTTTTCTCATGAATTTATATTGTTTGGCAGGAGGAAGATTATTTAAATTTTATAAGATTGCCTTGTGTACATATCTTCCTGCTTATGATGTACCGTTGCATTCCTTTTAAGTTTTATTTTATTGGGAAAATAACATGGTGTTCCTGAAAGTCATCATCATAAAAAAGAAACAAAGTTGATAAATTAATTAAAGCAGTTTGGTTACAGGCTCGAGGTTTCAGTGGTGTCTTTTTGCTTGATGGCAAATTACATGTAGTAGTGGGTTTAAAGGTGAAACTTAGCTGGTAGTTTCTACTGTGGATCTCAGATGGATGACAGTGGACATCGTGAAAATGGAAGGCATAAACCACCTTTGAGTCAGGTATGCTGAAGTCATCTATTTCTGCACAGTAAGTTACTGTCAATAATCTAATTTCTGATTGTTGAGTTTTTGTGTGGAGCCTAACTAAAGTGTTCTTGAAGGGGTATATTGCTCATTCATATATTTATACAAGGTTGACCTAGTTCCTACATAATGTAAAGGAATTTGAGAGGTCTGTTTTTCATTGAGATAACGGAGGTGAGGGAAACCTTGTAATCTTGTTCTCCATTATAGTGGAACAACTCCAGCGATAATTTTCCTCTCACTTTGAGAGTGTACCACTATAAATATGCGGTGGTGTTTCTGTTCTCGGTTTATTTCTTATTGCTCTTGGGATTGGGATTAGAGCTTAAGCCCAGTCAATTCTTGATCTCAAACCAATCTATATCATGGTATTCTAATAGTTTGCATTTGAAAACTTTTTGAAATGCTTCTGTTTCAGTGGTTCATGCAGCATCAGCCATCAATGAAACAGATAATGGCCATTATGGCTGAAAGAGATGCTGCAGTCCAAGAAAGAAATTTAGCTCTTTCTGAAAAAAAGGTTGCCTTGGCAGAGCGAGATATGGCTATCCTACAACGAGATCAGGCAATAGCAGAACGAAATAATGCCATAATGAAGCGTGACAACGCTATTGCTACCCTTCAGTATAGGGAAAATACCATGAACAACGATAATATGTCGCAATGTCCTCCAGGATGCCAAGTTGCTCATGGGGTGAAACACATACACCATCCTCAGCAGCATGAACACCATCAGTCCAACATGGGTGAAGCTCCATTCACGACGGGGGAAACTCACCTGCCTGACACCATTCCATTGCCCCCAGTTGCTCCTGAGCCTGAAAAATCCCGTAGTACAAAACGTAGAAAGGAGGCAAAGGCTACTACCTCCATGAAGAAGACGTCAACATCCTTGAAGAAGGGCAAACAAGATGGTGAGGACCTGAACAAAACAATGTTCGGGAAATCACAGTCCTGGAAAAACGAGCAGGATATTGATGGTGATACTGATGACCTTAACAGGCAAATGGTTGTATCGAAACCAAATTGGAAAGATCAGGACCTGGGACTGAACCAGGTTGCATTTGACGAGTCGACCATGCCGGTGCCCGTCTGCTCGTGTACTGGGGTTCTAAGGCCTTGTTATAAATGGGGTAATGGAGGTTGGCAATCTTCCTGTTGTACAACCACTTTGTCAATGTATCCACTGCCAGCAGTGCCTAACAAGCGCCATAGTCGAGTTGGTGGTCGGAAAATGAGTGGAGGTGCGTTTAACAAGCTGCTCAGTCGACTTGCTGGAGAAGGTCATGATCTGTCGAATCCAGTTGATCTTAAAGATCACTGGGCAAAGCATGGCACAAATCGCTACATCACCATCAAATAAATATCTGATAATGCTGGGACCCAAATAAGATAATTCACCGGAAAACATTTATAATAGTATATGATTTTGCACATGTATGGGAAGGATACATTGGCCTGCCTAGCTAATAGGGGATAGTTCCATACATTTTCATCTCTCTCAATTATCATTAGCAGAATTAAGAGCTCAGCTCCCCTTGAAATCTTCTTTATTTTCGGTTTCCTATTTTCATAATTCAGAATGTGTGGATGTTGATTGATGATGAGATAATAGCAATGTTTGTCTTAGAATGGGCTATATATATGATGGCAAATCTGGATATAATTGTAAAAGGGGTATATGATCAATATATGTTATTATAGCCGTACAAGTTATAGATGTTAATTTGCAACAATAAGGTATGTTTTATCATTTTATTTCAAGCAATAAACCACTTGGACAGTAGGTCCAATGTGAGTTGGATCACTTAGCCATGTGTCATAATTGGAAAAACGAGCACTGTGGAAATACATACTACTTAGCCAAAGAAACATGATGGATTGGAGAGTTGATTGAAATGGGCTAAACTTTCCAAGGGTTGTCATATCTTGTCTAATGGATAGGTACCAAAATGATTGAAATCACGACCAAGCTATGATAGGCCGTGTTGTGAGTCAGCCCACCCTCACGGTCAAGCCCGCGGCACGCATTGGCAGTAATGAAACATGAAATTTTTTTATGATCGGTAGGAGGCAGTAGGCCGACACGGACCACCTTGAAATCAGTTTGGCCTGGTTGACATAGAGGTTCATGGTTGATGAGCGTAATTTTTTTGAAATTTATTTCTACGAGCCCTTGTTCTATTGAGTGATGAGCCGAGCTAGAAAACATTTATCGTTAGATGGAGGACACCAAAGCCCGGGCTCGATAATATTGTCACTTAGAATTGATTCGAGATTCGAAGTTGAGGAAATTACATCATTCCAGGTCTTTAAAAATAACAATTCAAAAACCAGGGTTGATGTTTCATTATTCACAAATCAGTTCCCCATCTATAAAAACCCTAATTTATCTCCACAACTCTCTCTTGCCCCCCCCACCATCTCTCTCCAGTAAAACGACCCTCCATTATCTCCCATATGAATCCGGTGCAATTGCGAACTCCTCGTCTTCCCATCATCGCTGACTGCCGTTGTCGCCTAGCCCATCACCTATATTCAATCCATATCACCCCAGATGGAGTGCGAATCGTCGGCCAGAAGGAGCGCAAAATTGTCGCGAGTTGCTATGTTATTTTACCCATATCTTGCGATTTCAGATCCATCCATGGCCATCATCCCGTCGTCACTCCCTGCGAGCAACGCTCACTGCAGTACAGATCGGTGGTGTTGTTCTTTTTTTATTTATTTTTTTTTGATGTTAGTTGTGGGTGGTTTTACTTGTTTTTGGTTTTGCAAGTAGTTGTTTTAGTGGTGGTGAGGTGGTTGTTGAGTGGTGGTGTTGCGGCTTGTGCAGCGTCGCCATGGGGACTGTGCCTTAGTTGCTGAGAGCATGGCGAGTTCGTGTTGGCATGGTGGTGATGGTGGCTACTGTGGTGGCGGCGGGGATGATGGTGGTGGCGTGGGTTCAGATTTGGGTGGTGGTTGTTGTAATAGTGGTGAGGTAGTGACGTTGATGACAGTGGTGTTGTGTTATTGTTATTGTTGGTGGTGGAGGTGGAGGTGGCAGCGTGGCTAAGGAATGAGACGAAGAGTGTCTGTGACCAACTATTTGGTCGATTTGTGACCAAGTTCAGCCCACCCTCACGGTCAAGCCCGCGGCACGCATTGGCAGTAATGAAACATGAAATTTTTTTATGATCGGTAGGAGGCAGTAGGCCGACACGGACCACCTTGAAATCAGTTTGGCCTGGTTGACATAGAGGTTCATGGTTGATGAGCGTAATTTTTTTGAAATTTATTTCTACGAGCCCTTGTTCTATTGAGTGATGAGCCGAGCTAGAAAACATTTATCGTTAGATGGAGGACACCAAAGCCCGGGCTCGATAATATTGTCACTTAGAATTGATTCGAGATTCGAAGTTGAGGAAATTACATCATTCCAGGTCTTTAAAAATAACAATTCAAAAACCAGGGTTGATGTTTCATTATTCACAAATCAGTTCCCCATCTATAAAAACCCTAATTTATCTCCACAACTCTCTCTTGCCCCCCCCACCATCTCTCTCCAGTAAAACGACCCTCCATTATCTCCCATATGAATCCGGTGCAATTGCGAACTCCTCGTCTTCCCATCATCGCTGACTGCCGTTGTCGCCTAGCCCATCACCTATATTCAATCCATATCACCCCAGATGGAGTGCGAATCGTCGGCCAGAAGGAGCGCAAAATTGTCACGAGTTGCTGTGTTATTTTACCCATATCTTGCGATTTCAGATCCGTCCATGGCCATCATCCCGTCGTCACTCCCTGCGAGCAACGCTCACTGCAGTACAGATCGGTGGTGTTGTTCTTTTTTTATTTTTTTTTGTTTTGATGTTAGTTGTGGGTGGTTTTACTTGTTTTTGGTTTTGCAAGTAGTTGTTTTAGTGGTGGTGAGGTGGTTATTGAGTGGTGGTGTTGCGGCTTGTGCAGCGTCGCCATGGGGACTGTGCCTTAGTTGCTGAGAGCATGGCGAGTTCGTGTTGGCGTGGTGGTGATGGTGGCTACTGTGGTGGCGGCGGGGATGATGGTGGTGGCGTGGGTTCAGATTTGGGTGGTGGTTGTTGTAATAGTGGTGAGGTAGTGACGTTGATGACAGTGGTGTTGTGTTATTGTTATTGTCGGTGGTGGAGGTGGAGGTGGAGGTGGAGGTTGCAGCGTGGCAAAGGAATGAGACGAATAGTGTCTGTGACCAACTATTTGGTCGATTTGTGACCAAGTATTGGTGGTGGATCGGGATTGGAAGCAGGCGTTTGGGTGTATGTGATCAATTATTTTATTTTTTGTGATTAACTAAAAAAATGCGACTTTAAAATTCGATAATTTTTTATTAAAAAAATAATATGTGGCCAACAAATTTGAAAATATGTGACCAATAGATAAATTGTGGCCTACAATTTTTTTTATCTGTGACCAATTAAATAAACTGTGACCTATAAAATTATTGATTTGTGATATTTAAATAATCTGTGACCAATAATTTGATATTATGTGAATAATAAATAAGCTGTGACCTATAAATTGTGACCTTATTATATTTAAGTAATAAATATTTTAAATTAATTACCTTATACCCGAGTTTTGCATTTTCAAACCATACACCTGACTTGTGATCTGGTGTAAATTAAACCACTTGAGTCATGATTTTATCCCTTCGAAGTTTTCTGAGTTGGCACCGATCTCATGGATTAAGTCATGATCCTTAATCTTGAGCAATAAAAGCAAGAAATTTTGCTGCATAGTAAACAACACAAGTTTATGATAGGACCCTCAAATTTGTCATTGAGAGTTCTTAAATTCGAGAAAAAGCAGCGTTTTAATAAGTGGAGCTGCCTAGGCACGAAGCTGGTGTCTTTTTCGTGCCTTTTTTTAAATTTGTTTTCCCTCATAGTCACGACTAACCACGCTTTTTTTTTTCCTTCTTTTACGTTTGTTCTCTTTTAATTATTAAATAATTTTTAAAAATTTAAAATAATATTAAAATAAGAAAACGTTTTTTAAGCCTAGACGAGACCTAGGCTTGTTTAGGCCAAAGCTCGACCTCCACGGTTCGTCACACTTTACGCTTTTTAGAATATTGAGAAAAAGATACCGTAGATAAAAGTGTGCATATCGTGGGGGATAAATGAAGAATATAATTAGATTTCATTTGTTAAGTTTGGAAAAGTCAGGCCTCAGCGGTGTTTGTGATCGATCTAAAATTTAAGTTTTCGAAGAAGAGAAAATTTTGCTATTTTATATTTATATTTTCAACTGGCCTGTTGGTAGGGGCTTAATTCATATATAATTGTAATAATAAGTGTGGTGTTCGGGTGCAAGTCTAAAGTTTTCGAGGATGTCCTGGTGCCACACTAGATGATCATCTCATTTAAAAGTTTAAACATTACTTTTAAATTTTTCGTTTACTGTAATCATATTTTTGGCGATAATAATGTCCCTATTTGATGGGGATTATCAATTTTTACTAGATTATGATAAATGTTGAAAATTGTGGAATTTTGAATTTTGGAAGGCTATTTAGATGTTTCAATCAACAACTGAAATTTGATATTTTTTAATACTCTCTTTCGGACGGTTAATGGCTTTGCAATGTCGTGCTGGAGGAATGTAAGGCATCCATGTAATTTATTCTAGCCGATAATATTATAAGAAACTACGTCAACTTAGATGTCAATATCATAGAAAAATATAGAAAGAATACAATTAATTAAGGCGACACCAATGGCTTCCCGTCAATGCTACCTTAGTGAGTCTCGACAACATCAGTGACGATATCGCCATCGATAATTACTGACGGAGGTGCACTAATGATCACCAATTAGTAATTGCTTTTAAATAAATAAGAAATGTTTATTTCAAAGAGAATCACTAGATTTAGCAATCACTGCATTTATCATTAAAGCACCGTTACTAATTCTTAACAATGCCAATGGCGACATCACCATTAGTAGCCGCTGATGAAAGTATGTCAGTCATTTGACTAATATATTTTCGGTAATTTCGCTTAAATCAATAGATTCCTATCGGAATTATCAACCGTCATATCGTTAGCGATCACCTACAAAATTTTTGTTAGATCATTTTCTCCATTAACTTTTTTATTATTGTTCTAGAAAATAGTCCCTTAACAATTTTGCCTAAAACCCTAGACATAATTACCTAACAATTTCATATTAAGCAAGAGTTCACCAAAATTTTACTGTATTCCAAAATTTAGCAAATTTGGAGCGGATGCGCTGACATGAAGAGAGCTCCAGTTTCCTCTTGTTCCAATGTTCTTAAACTTGTAATTCTATCTTTATTCAACAACCAATATCTAGATTACATTCTTTTGAAAAATACTCCAACAAAATATTATTAAGATAATAACAATTTGTGAGACAAGACGAGGAAAAAGAGAAAAATTTCTACAAGTTAAAATAAATAAATAATTACAATACTCCTATCTTATTCTCTTTTTCAATATAAGAATATAGAAAAATCCTTCCAAAAAAAAATAATAATAATAAATTTCCAATCCAACTGGAAAATAAAAGGATAATACGAGATATACATATTTTGGTTTTTTTTTTTTTTTTTAATCGGAGAGGTTTTATTTATTTTTGAAAAATAGAAAATATCAATATAATAGTCTGATACTTTACAATTATAGTTTGCTTTTGAATTTTAGAGTTGGAAGTCCAAAAATTAAATTTTAGAATTTCGTCATTACATAGTGACTGCGAGTATCCATGTGTGCACCCAAATCATTCTCTTACAATATGTTCCCATCTTTCCCCCTTCCAGATTACTACTGCGTCCCCCAAGATTCGAACTGAAGACACTTTATGAAAGATCTAAGTTGAATTCTAGTACCAATGAAACACTTGCGGAATTGATGATTCGAGATGACAATTGAATTCCTTAATCCTAACTAAAATAAAAGAGCCAGTTTTTGAGTTACTATTACTATGGAGTCGTACCCCGAATAGGTTGCCAATTCTTTTTTTTTTTTTTTTTTTTTTTTTTTTTTTTTTTTTTTCCCTGTTGCTTCCAATAATTTTTTTTTTGTTTATTTTTTTTTCCTTTTTTATTTCTTTTCACAATTGCAGCCGTTTGTTTGACTTGTTATTTGTACTTAATGTTTGCGCGTGAAAAGAAAACTCTTGCGTGTTAGGACTAATTTTTTCTTCTCAGCCACATGTTTGTCTTTGTTTTTTATTTAGTAGGCAACTTGTTATCTTCCGTTTATCAATACCTCTGTCATCTTGTTCATGCGATTTTCTCTTCCGTTTTCATTCTTCTCACATAAAAACCCTATGTCTTACTTTTTATCACTAAAAAATTTCTGCTACTTAATATTTATGGAAAACATTTAAAAATTCTCAAGGTATGGATAACAGGAATAATATATAGATATGTATTTTCCACCTAGTGAACTAATACTAATTGTTTACTTATTTCAAGGGAACCAACTCAGATTATAACCATAATTTGGGAGAAAATAATCACAATTTTAAATGATAACGTAAAATTTTATTCATGGCCATTAAACTTTTAAACAAAATTTCAATTAGATCACTAAATTTTAATTTGTTTCAATTGGAAAGTTGAACTTCAATTAAGTTTAAATTTCATCGCTTCGTTGAGGATGACAAAATTTCCCACCCCAACTACCCTGCATTGCCCCCACCTCGAATAGGGCGAGGATGAAAAAACATGGTCCTTCCTCAAATTTCTTGAACCCATGTTATGTCACTGTTTGACGGGGATTAAAATCAGATGTTTTAGTAAATTTTTATAGAAGTTGATGAGACGTGAAGTTGAAAAGTTGTGGGACCAATAAAATATATTGTTAAAATAAATAGTTGACTTGATTTAGATTAAAATATAGATTTTAATTGGTACAAAACATTGGCTATATCCATTTTTTTTTTGGTATTTAATAAATAAATAATTAAATCAGATTATAAATAGAGATAATTGAATTTTAATCGTTGACCCACCTTCAAGAATTAATCCCCGACAAGGCGGCTTGGCTCTGCCCTGACCCATTGCCTTTCCTACACTCGTGACATTCAATCACCTCTTCCTTCAGTGCAAGATAATGGGAGGATGCCCCCACTTCAGAAAAAGTTATGCCCAAACTCATCTTCTACATACAATTCTTCTGTGAAACCCAAGAAGAAAACAAGTAACAATAATGCATAACTCTGATACTTAGCTATAAAAATTGAAATTAAAACTAAATTTATTCAAAGGTTATCATCTCCAATCCAAAGAAAACCATATTATCTATTTTGTACTAAAAAACTTATTATGAACATACCCAAGAAGAAAAACAAGTAATTATGCTCTTGTTTAAGTCCCATTCTTGTCATAAAAATGTATTTTTGAATAGTGTATTGATGTAAAATGTGAGATTAAAAAATAAGGAAATTTTTCGAATTTACGTGTAACATTATTTGATTGAAGAGTGTGCGGTTGAAATGAATTCAAAACATCGTTAAAAAATGCTTTTTTTCCCCCAAGAATGGAGCTCAAACAAGAGCTATATTGCATAACTCCAAAATAACGTCATCTTACTCTTCAGGCAAGCTTGACAAGCACAAACAGCAATTCTTCATCGACTCGAACAGCCCAAAGTTGCATGACATCTCCAATCATGAGTTTGTTATTCTCACGAATTTTGCCCCAAGTTTTATTCAACACGTACGACGAACTTGAACGTCCCGAATCTTTCTTCAAGTCCCATCTTCTCAACTCCACAGTACCTTCTCCAAGCAGTGGCTCGATTATCTTCACTTTCATAGCCATTTTTCGTCCCTTACTCGCGTACTTTGACAGATTTGTCTTCTCTTCATTGCTCAGGAACTCCTCTCTAATCTGATTTGCCGGAATGGTGAACCGGTTTTGATCCTGAGCCATATCACTGGCGAACAATTGCTTCTGTATTACCAACTTTATTTCCAAGACAGTTCTACCTTGTGCTAGGGAAAAAATTGCATTTTTGAATTGTATGGGTAATGGAGGCGCTGGCTCTTCCGTCGGATTAATGTTGTTTCTTGATGAAGATCCTTCTCCACTTCTGCCATTGCTTTTCGCCTTCCTCTTGCTTGATTTTCTCTTTCTTTTTCTCTCAGTACTGAATTCAGAGGACATAATTATTGAGTCGTTCTCCATTAATGGGTCTGCAACAACAGGTTTCTTGAGATACTTTTCTCTTAATTGAACTCCAAGGGCTGCTTCGTATTTATTCTCAATGATTTTCTTGATAGAATTTTCTTTCAGTTTCTTGGATGCATCATCTTCTTCAACATCTTCGATCCGCCCCCAATTGTTTTCATTATTATTCATATTAGGTTTTTTGATCATCATGCTTTCTTCATCAACATCAAAAATCCCGGCCTCGCGCATTAATACAGGAAGTAGGATTTTTGATAAAAACTTGGACATGGTCTTGCTCCGTAATTATCAGGGGAAAAAGCAGTGAAAACTCAATTCAATCTGATTTTTGTTGCAAAGAATATATGTAGAGATTAACAAGGTTTTCCAGTATTATGAAATATGTAAGTATGGCTTTAAATATACAGAGAGAGAGTTTATGGAGATCATCCATTCGAGTGTAGCATCTCAATTAGTCAACAAAATACCTCAGCAAAGGGGATATAAGCTTTTTAATTAGTCAATGTAGATCCCCTTTGTCAATGTAAATCTACATGGACAGAAAAAGGGGATCTTTCCGTCATTTTAGAGTTAATAAGATGAACGGCGCTACCTGTACAGGCAGTTCATAAGGTCGGTACAGACAACACATAACAGGTGGGGACCGTGGGGTGAGTCGTTCGTTTTTGAAAGAAAAAATCATGTGAGGAACACTGTGGAATATTCCCTGTACACAGGGACTTACTCTGATAAGATTTGCTTTCCACGTACACATCGTCGTTCTGGTATTCATCATAATTCATGTGAAATTTATTCTTAGCTACAGTAGTTTTTCATTGGGAAATGGTAGATTGATTGATGATGTTGATAAGTGGAAGCAATCAACAATTATCTTCATTTGTCTTCTACAAGGAATCGTTTACTATCGGTATACATTTTCCTCAATTCTAAAGTCATCCTTCTCTGTTGTACAAGAGAGCTCCAAAGAATTCCCACAAAATATACATTAAATTACGAATCTCAGAGCTCCATTTTAATCGTATTTTATATGGTCGTTCCAGTTTCTTCAGATTTACTGTTAAGCGGCCGATTTTTTCGTCATTGTGTTCTAACTTGAAGTTTCCAAAAGAACCGAAAAATTTGCACAGAAATAGGAGACCGACTACCTCAGGTATGTCAATTTCATACTTGCTTCAGTTTAGGGCTTTTCCTTTATTCGAAATTAATTTTTAATCAATCGATTTGTGATGATTTTGTTGGAGAATTTACACCGATTATCGTGCATATTATATTCACAATAAACATACTGGTTATATGCATGAAATCGAAACGTAATCCAACTTACCAAAATTGGATTTAACAAGGAGAAATGATAATTTACCGATTCTGAACTCAAGAATATGGATTCTTCCCTTTCGATTCTTGAACGATCAAACCTTGCAGCATAAATATATAAATCAGATTAATCAATTTTCTGAAATCAAAGTATAATTAACAGAAATCAGAAAATAAAGAGAGAAGATGCATGTGATGGATTTTTGGCCGAGGCAAGTGTTGGACACTTTATCCTTAAGATGAATTTGCCCCGCATCGGTGCTAACGGTTCTTCGGCAATCATCTCCCAAGATACAACGACCACGTCGAGTCATAGGAGCACTCCAAATGACTTCGACCAGCGAACTCGAACGGAATTCCCTCTCTACCATGACCATGACTTTGATGCAAATTAAAATCACTTCTAAAAGTGTTTTATGCAAACTAAAGTGTAAGCATGGAATGGAATGATATGAATTATCTATTGACTTTCATGAATTTCTTGAATGATAAAATTCAAACACATGAGATCTATATATAGTAGTTGGAAAGGTATGTCAAAAGACACAACCATACCAAGAGTCACATCTCTTGGAATTCATAATTATTGGAAAATAATTATGCCACAACCATATCAAGAGTCACGTCTCTTGAAATTCATAATTATTGGAAAATAATTATACCAAAGGTTATGACCGTTCATATGACAATACATATTTTCATCCAACCATTTTCTAGAATATTCTACAATATTCTATACAATTTTCCAACAATTTTCAGTATTAAGCGGCTTACATTTGGCTTAATTTCTCATTCACCAAATTAAGAATTCCACTTAAATAATCATGTAAAATTGGTCACAACCAATTTCCGATACAAAATTCCAACAGATTTTGCTGCAACATTTGCTCTTGTTCAGACGTACGTCTTTTGCCTGAAGTGTTTAGCCAAACGAATCAGGATTGAAGGGGTAGAGAGATTTTAACCAAACGATGTCTATCAGAGTATTATTACTTCTCAAGCCTTATCTCTTTTGAGATGAGCTCCTCATCGACACTCTGTTTTTTCATATCTGCTATTTCATTAGTCTATTGCATAATTTTTTAGTGAAGTATTACTATTTTCTGCCTCTTGACTCGTATGCTCGACTATGGATTTCTCTGTACTTTTATCTTTTTGGGTTTAATGTAGTTTAGTGGTGTAATTGTTTTGTCTCTTGAATGGATATGGTTCGATTAGATTACATTTTACTGGGAATGGTTCAATTGAATTTTATGGAAGCTTGATTTGTCTGTTGTGCTGAATTTTAAATTTCTTTTCAATCTCAGGAATAGAGCTGGACGCGAGCCGGTTCGGTTCGGTTCGGTATCTAGTAAATGGAACCGTCAGGTCCAAATATAATTATGAAACCGTTCGGGTTCGGTTCCATTCGGTTCTGTACTATAATTAAATTTTTTAACATTTATAACAACGTTATATAAATACGACTAATGATACATTCAATAGTTTTGGAATGTCAGAGACTAGTAAACTACCTAGTTCAAATGATCACTACAATCAAAGCTTCCGTCGGCGAAAGTCACAGCTTCGATCGGAGGTCAGAGTGTCAGTCGACGATTGTATAGGTTTTGGAATATTAGCGAGGCTGTGAGAGTCGAGACAACGTTATGCACTTTAGTATATGTGTTTAGGTTTATTTAGTGGATTTGATCTTGTTTGGCTAAGAAATGAAACAATAAAATGGGTAATTGGGTCAAAAATTAAAAAATTAGAAATGAAACAAATTATTGGACCAAAAATTTGGATTTAGAAATCATTAATTTGTTAATTTGTTTAGAAAAAATTAAAATTAAAATAATTTGAGTTACTCAATATAAAAAAAATAAATTAGAAAGATTCGGTTTTTCGGTTCTTGGTCTAGAACCGAGAACCGAACCGTACCCGTCGATTCTCAATTCAGATACCCGTTAGGGTATTTAATTTGACAAGAATCGTTGGGTTCGGTTCGGTTCGGGAAATTTGTCCAGCCCTACTCAAGAATATGAAATTGTGAATTAAAAATTTACCTTTTCATTTCTTCCAGGAATCAAAGTTTATGGGCTTAAAGAGGATATAAAGAA